ATACAACAAATTTCTAATCCCGAAAAAATATCAATTCATCCAAGTATCGAGATCATATATCGAATCAAATAGAAAGAAGATTATCAATGAATTACGCAACTTCCCCAACTTGGTTTTGCTTGGGGGTCTTCGTGGTGTAATTGGTTGATTGTGGGGCCTCTTTTGGGCTTCATCGGAATTGTGTTCATCGCAGGCTTCCTTTATCGGCAAAGTTGCGCACAATAAGATTTCGAGATCTTCAGGCGCGTCGGAGCCGAAGGTGCGATGTCGAACACCCAGGCCTGTTTTGAAGTTTAGGTTCATGCAAACCAATAGGGGGGGGGGCCACAGTCTTGCATCACAGTATGGATGCTATGGGTGCTTAGGTACCCAAAGTCAGAATTGCGTTGGAATCATTTGTGAGTAAGAAGACATCCCCCACATTATCCCATGATTGGGGCGTGCGTAGGCTCTTGCTCAGCGATGTCCGTTTGTTAAGGATTGTAGCTGCGCATGGTCCACTTGTAGGGAGTATGAGTACAGGGCATCAAGAAAAATGCAGTCACAAGCGTCACAATCTGCAGGTTTCGCAAACGTGCAGGTGCCTCTGATTCCACATCCGCGAGGCGATGCTACTGCTCGAGACGCCTGAGACACGGGGCTGTTGAATTGCCAATGTCACAAGCTGTAGCTTGCGGCCCTGCACTGTCCCTTGGCCCCAAGACTGTTCAGATTTGAGCATGACTGAGCAACTGGAAGCTGTTCACTATATGGCAGTTGATCTAAACTCCTAATCGCTGGCACCCCTGAGCCCCTAAGACCTATAGTGCTGGAGTTTTGCCTTGTATCTACGGCGTGTGAGTACTCAGTTTAGGGTTGAGCACGTTGAGCGGTGAGGAAGGGTTGAGCATGGTTTGAGGGGGCACATCAGTGACCTTCTCTGGTCAGTGAGTGGTCTTCTGGAACCCGTAGCTGACAAGCCTGAGATTGAGTTCTATGTTGACTCTCGTCAAAACTTTCGCCAGCAAATCCTTTCACGCGCCTCATGGACCTGCAGTTCTTGCATACATTCCTTACAAGGACCTTCAGATCAAACACATTTCTCGCGTGCCAACTGCCATGTCCTAAGCAACTCGCATGTATGATTTGGTTTTTGGAAGCCTCAAATTATTCAGGCTCCCTACTGCCACAGACACCTTTCGCTTGACCCACAGTTGACTTCCCGACTTCCCTTCAAATATGTTACACCTTCAAATTCAGCGGAATTCAAAGTGCGTTGGCTCGGATCACCCCTGCAGCGGCATTGGATCTTACGAAGTCCTGTTCAACATCAGGTTTCTTGCTAGTACCATGTCGAAACAGCGCAATCAGCGCAATAGATGACGAGTCTCAAAGCCACCGCACCTTCTGCCGACGAAGGCTGTTCGTGGCCTAAGAGCACAAGAAAAGGTCAAGCAGCGTTCACTGCAGGGAGCAGGCGGTATTTCGAAAAGCATGGGAGCGCACTTGCACCAGAGACATTTCTTATTGAGTCTGTATGGCTACCAGTTTTGATCTCAGTTGGAGATCCTCATCACAGCACGCAGAATCCAAAGGGTCCATGCTCTGAATTGAAAGATCAGAACTTACCTGGGCAAGATTCTTCTAGAGAAGTACTTGGACCTGTATATGTGAATCACGCAGAACAAAAAGGAGATTGCCGCAGGTGGTTAGACCCTTTGGGAATGAGCCAGCACATGATTCCGTCATGTTGCGACGGTCGTTGTGTCGGAGGGCATGCACCCGGAGCCATGGGAAACTTTCACAGTGCAGCACTGCTTCAAGCATTCCACTTTCTGCAGGATCCGGGACCTTGAGTGAAACACACCAGCTGCCTGCAGCCTATTCGGACCGTCTTGGTGGGGAGGGTGGGTGGTAGATAAAATTGGGTGCCGGTCCCTATTTCGTTGTGGCCAGGGTTGGGGAGGGGGGTCGTGCGGTGGTGGACCACTTTGACAAGAAGAATGCGCGCATGATTGCATGATTGTACGCGAGCAAGAAAGTCTCTGTACGGAGACTCTTTTGGTACCTACCCCCACCCCCCCACCCCCGCACGACCCAGAATCGGTACCGGAAATTGCTGGCACGAAAAGTGACTCCCCCCACACCCACAACGATTTCGAGGAGGTCCTCGTGACTAGCTGCCTGGAGTGTGCAGCACGAGGTCAGCAAGGCTGCCATCGTCATGTTCTAATCGTCGGACTGGAAGAGCTCCGGGAGAGATCGATAGAAGCTCCATTGTAAGACCCGCGGCAGTCAGTGAGACCCCTTGAGTCAAGAGAGTTTGGTTGAACCGCTGCTGAAAGTCAGAAACGGATGTCGAAAACAGGCTTGAGGAAAGGGCTGCTTCGTCCCATGCCTCATCTACCAAAAAGATGTGGAACCGTCCAATGAGCAGCGTACCACGAGGCTCCAAGTCAAGACGGATGCCATAAGTCTCCGCCCCTGAGAAGTGCGCCAGGCAGCTTAGGAGCGATGCGTAAACTGGCGCGAACATCAGCGAGGCCAAACTGGGGTCAGTAGCTATAAAATTAAACGGCAGGGTGCCTGAGACCGAAGTGGAAAAGCCTGGGCAAAAGTGCTGACCATTGTAAGTGAGACAGCTCCGAGTCTCCAGCTCATCGCACGTATAGCCAAAGGGTTCGGGGCAGGCAGAATCTACAGTCTCGCGGGAACATCCGCAGCTCACAGGGCAAAACGCTTCCAGCGTCTTGAACTCCCACTCAAAGGAACTGTTCCATCCGAAGCAGCTTCCCCAAGAGATGTTCTCTGCAGTCAAGTTGGCCTGAAAGCCGCAGCCATGATCCCACATGGCTTGAGCTATCAACAGCGCCTCCTCCTTGCCTTTCAAGTTCGCAGACAAGTTCGCAGATAAATTGCCATACGTCTGCAGCGCATCGATCCACCGCACCCAAGGGGCGTAGTTCCGAAGGCTGGAGGCATTCTGCTCGACGCAAGCGGTGTTCTGTCGAAATGCAAGGAAGCTTTCCGACTCTTGGCAGGCTCGGCCTGAACCATATGGGCATCCCTGTACGAATATGTTGTCACCTGCTGGGGTCTGGCAGCCGCATGTTGCTGAGCAAAGCATTCTAGTGGCCCAGCCTTTGCCATCGTCTACTCCGTAATCTGGCAGACTGGTAATTGATGTGCAAAACTTTGCAGCGTCAGCACATCCCTGGACGCTGTCGTTCTGGAGGAAGAACCTGAGGTAGTTGAGCATTGGTTCTGTATCACCCAGGTCCCCACAATCAGGGTTGAAAAGGTCAATGCTCTCTGCAAGAGATAGCACCGTGAGATCTCCTAGGGAGCTCACATCCTGTAGCCAAAGCCCATACTTGGTCTCATCCTTCTCCAGGCCAAAACCTATGCGCTCCCCCTCCTGGACTGCGTAGATCTTCGTTTCATCCTGATCTTCCCATCCGCCGCCGGAAGTCGGGGCCATGAGTACGATCCTTCGCTTGTCCACTTGCCAGACAAACCCCAAATTGCCTCCACACATGGCCTCGCTTACAGCCTGCAAAGTGCCGACAAAAGGGTCCAACATGCTGATGTAGACGATGATGGTAAGCAAGGGAATGCCTATGGACATAGAAACTGACTTGGCATCAGCACCCCTGAGTCTGGGCAGGGAGGGCATGGGCAGAGGATCCAGCTGATGCACTAAGTGCCTACCTGGCGTGGTGGCCAGAGCATCGAAGAGCAAATCGTCGATATCCAGAATGATACCCAGGGCCACGGCGTTGAGGATGAGCTCTGTGACGCTAACGGTATAGACCAGAAAGAAGGTGCCGACAAAGACCAAAACCGCAGCTGCCAACAAGCGGTAGGCGAACAAGACGGCACTGAATACCTTACGCCGCTTTGCCACACAGCGCAGGCGATAGTGGATTGACTTGCTGAACGGGTTTTCTCGTGTATCAATCCTGGTGGGACCCGTGGGCATTGCCATGACTCCTCGCAACAATGCTAAGGCGTGACTCAGCTCCTTGGCCACCATCAAATACCAACACACCAGCGCAACGATGCATAGCACCTGACCTGTGAACATTCCTTCCAAGCCAGGCTTGCCGGATTTCAGGTACTTCTCGATGTGCTCGTACAAAGCCACCTATAACTGTGAATCTCGATTCTGACCGAGCTACATCTTGGCTACAAACCTACCCGCACAAGATACTCGACTCACACATGTTATCAAAAAATAGTTCTTGCTATTGTTTTGAGACAACTGATTATGGAGAATGCTCGTCCCATGTTTTGGAACCGTGTGGTTTTGACAAACTGCAGGCCTGGATGCCAGATTGCTCCAGCGACTTGTCGAGCCTGCAAACACGCTCAGCTAAGGATTCCTTCGAGACATCATCGTAGCTCCAGAGGGAATGACCGGATGCTCTCCTCCATCTCAGAGCATCCTGCACGGAGTCCTCATCCACGTCCGGGACGGTAAAGTTGTAATAGCAGATCGCCACGAAGACCACTTGCATCAGGACGTTCACCACAGCCAGTAGACAAGTCTGAACAGATCCCAAGGGACCAAGGGCTCCCGTGCCAATGAAGATTACCAAATCCCACGTTGACTCTCCGAAGGTGTAATACTCATTTGTCTGCGTGTCCAAGGTGTGTTCATTCACATCGGAGATCTTTTCGCGCGAGATTTCGGTGATTGTTTTCCTTCTGTTTCTCTTGCTAGGTGAATGAACTGCCATCGAACTTGGAGATAACCCCGAAGGCATGTCTCTCATGTTAGCTTCTTGCGCTTCCTTGGCATCGCCCTCGCCCTCGTCATCCAGCGATATAGAAACCACATTCTCCGAAAGCTCAATGCGCGGAGGCGGTTCGGTTTCACTCCACTTCGGGCCCGTATTCACGAGGGAGCCGGAGACCTACAGGGAAACTAGTCGGAATATGTCGGAATGCAAATAAGGCCCCGGTCTGCCCTGAACGATGCCCTCAGCTTTACTGCGCTTGTGGGGGCCAGGGGTGCTACTCATCACGGGCTCTCAGAGGATAGCACATCACTGATCCCTTTGACACACGAGCTTGTCTGAAAAAATCGCCTCAATTTGCTTCAGCCTCTTCTCCACTTCAAGGAGCCGATCGTGGAGCTGAGGTATCAAACCTGGATCGCTAGTGGCTCTCTGTCTCTTCAGGAAACTGGTGCTGAAGCCCCATATTAAACCCTATCATTCCATCCGCAACCCAGGAGCCCGCCAATGCCACCGTCTCCTCCAAGTCTTCAAACCTTTCATCGATGAGGTGGAGGATGTCAGATTCGTTTGCAGTCGTTGCTGACCTTTGAATTTTCGGCATGGCTGCGAGAGGCAATATCAAAGAGAACGCGGCTAGCAGGCGGAAACAAGTGTGTGTGTGTATATATATATAATATACGTATACATGCAAAAGGCAAAGTCGCTCCTTGAATGCTTGCGGATTTTAAACGGCGCGTGGCAAAGCCAGGGCCCATGCATGTCCTGAAATGTATCGACTGGTCTTCTATTTACATGTCTGAATTCGCGTACTGTGCCGAAGCTTCAAAGTTGCTCGGCTGTTCATGCGAATCTCCAGAGCCATACATGCTGCTCCATCGCACATCACCATGCCACAAGGCAACGGCAACACCTGTGGGCACGTGGTGCGTGAGTGCGGGTTTGGATATCCTTTGCCTGACTCACACCTCTCAACCCCTCAATCGTTTTCGAACATCCCAGCTGAGATGAGTTGCGCGGGTCACCGCCGGCGCCGGCGAGAACGTGACCTGCGCCAGAAAGACGGCGCAAAATCACAACGTATTCCACCTCAAGCAAGAATCCGAAAGAAGATTTGTCCTTGCACTCGGTAGTAATCGCTTGACACATACCCTAAGCCAATCATCCCGAAGTTCTTGGAAAGCCTCCTGGGAATCATCATCATGGCAGTCGTAGTACGTAGTCGTCTAGATGCAGCAGCAGCAGGAGGAGGAGGAGGAGGAGTACTACGACGACGACAGCAGTAAGACTTAAAAAATAGGAACCCAACAGCGCCTACTTCGGCTGCTGGCCGAGCTGTCCGACCCGTGTGCAGCTCGGTCACCTCGAGGACCTTCTGCAGAAGTCTTGCAAAGTTGTTTTAGGTCTTCTCTAGCACCCTACCGGAACCCTTGAATGCAAACGGCCTGTGGCACAGAACGCTGCAAAGAGGAGGAGGACTCACATGCGTATGTGTGAGGAAAAAGCTCTACACACCGCCCAGGCCACCAACCCCTGCGCTCCCTCTTCCCACGTCTTTCGCAACAAGCATGGAGAATCCTGCGACACCCACTTTGGACGATGACCAATCTCCCGGACTCTTCCTTTGAACCGACACCGGGAGACGAACGTGGAGCCTTCGTAGCTGCCGCCAATGCCCCTTTTGGGAAAACTCACTCCTGGCTTCAGGAACCCGTGGAGCCTGCATAGTGGAGGCATGTCAGCCGCAAAGAGCTTTTCGTTTGCCTGCATGCGACGTCTTCCACCAAATTAAAATGTCGTTGAGGACTTGATTGCAGCTCAGACCGAATTAGCTAACTCCTATTTCCCGTGGCAACTTGGGAGCAGGAGATGTGCCTGACGTGCACTGTGCACAAGCCCGCAGAGCCCCGTCGACAGTCCTTCTATTGGTAGAGCAAACTGAGGATCCCCTGACGGGTCGCTTGGCAAAGCCTCGCCAACTCCACGAGCATCTCCTCCGCTGGCTCTGACCTCAGAGAAATACTGCCAGGAAGAGCCACCACTTCACTGCCGGGCCGTTGAACTAATCGCCACCTCCTCATCTGCCTGAACAGGTGATCACGAGACCAAGGTTGCGGCACACCATTCACGCACACGATGCGATCGTGCTCCTGTATCGCCTGCTGCGGGCTTGCCTGCGCGATAAGCCGGGAAGCATGGCAAAAGAAGGCTTGAACATTTCGAACGCAGCTTCTGCAGTTTGTCAGTGCCTTCACAGATACAAGCAAGCCACACCACTATCTTGCGGCGCAGAGCATACTATATTGCCATATTGCACACCAAGCCTTGTTCCAGTCATCGACAGCACCTCTCACGAAACGATTGATACGTTGCCGAACATTCTGGACAGGACCTTTCGCTCTTCCATTGTCTTAGTTTTAGTCTTAGATGATGACGATGATGACGCAAGCAGCCTGCAATGACAATGGCCAAACTGTCAGAGTCAACACACAAATTCCAAAAACGAGCCACGTCAAAGCACACACATTGAAGCCTTAAGCTTGTGACTGACAGCCCGGGCCTTTAGCGATGGTGTCAATCCAAGGCTTCAGGGACCGCGTAGGCACGAAGTTCGCAAGAACACCAAGCTTCCTGCCAAAGTCAGGCCGAAAGTTTGGTAGGGCTTGTGTGGAATGACTCGCCGGTAAACATAGGACTTGAAACAGCACCAACAGGCGGGAACAGTCAGAAACACGTAAGAACCCTGCAACATGCTGAAACTCGCTGCATCACTTGCAGATGTCTCGGGCATCTGCTTCTTTTGAGGTTACCCCGAATGAACCCTCGGATAAAGCAGGTTCCGACACACCACTGGCTCCCTGGGTCCCTGTCCCGGGCTGTTTGAGGACCACAGTCCGCTGCTGTGGCCGCTGAAATCTCAAAGTTGCCTGGCACTTGCTTGTGGTTTTGTGGTCTGTCCTTGAGGACTCTGGAGTTCTGGGATGTTCCGGGTTGCTCGTGCCAAGGCCTATGAATGTAGTCTCTGTCTGTCCACCTGAGTCCCTCTCATCACGTGACATAGTAGCGCGCTTCTACCCCTGCAGCCAAGAGCTCCACGGCTTCATTCTCACACTACGCAACATGATGATGCGAAGCTCCTGCCTCGGAGCTACTGCGCATGGCCTTCTCCTCAGAACGGTCTCTGGGTGGCCATGCAATGCTCGGCGCGTTCGGCATGTCTGGAAAGCCCAGAGACTCTAGAAGCCGAGCGATCTCGACATGTCGAAGCTCTTTGAGTCAAAGCCTCTTTTTGGCACTCTTCAGTGCTGGGAGTCCTGGGAGTACTCTTTTTAGTAATAAACCTTGTGACAAACCTTTGTGAGAAACCTTTCTCTTTAATGCATCGCATCTTGGTGCCTCCAAGCGGCAAGCACGTCGTGCGCTCGGGACCCGTTCACCTCCAGGAGGCGATCGAAGACCTGCAGTCGGAACTCACAAAGGGTGTCGCCCTCTCCTTCGCCCCGAGACATTGTCGGACTGCATTCTGCTGAGCACGCTGGGGCCTGAATGGGATGGTCTGGCTGTGTCCTCAGGGCTGCTGGCAGACCCAAGTCTAGACAAGGTCTTGGGCAAGGCCGGGACTTGTTCCACTTGCTGACGGCCGGGGTGATCTCCTTGATGATCAAGAAGTCCTTCTGAAGCGTAAAATCAGTTTAAATCCCACTCCCCTGCCGATGAAACGAAGATTTCCCATCCTCGTCAGAGGTGTCAAGGGACAGGTCCAGCTTCCGAAGGGTCACGGAAAAGTGCCCAGACTCCTCCGAGATTTTCTGAGACTAGCCCCTTCGGAGATTGACTTTTCTGAAGGCTCGCTTGGATTGCCTTGTTGGCCTTTTTGGAGCCGGCTTCTAGGAACTTCTTCGCTGCAGGGCCATTCAGAACATCCAGAACCTAGATCTCGCCTCCTCCATAGCCGGCGCGCCGGCGGACCTCGCAGCCCGGGCAGCATGGCACAGCAAGGCAGAAAGCTTTTCTGAGTTTTGACGGGCTTCGGGCCTGAAGACAGTCCAAAAAACGTCAAATCGAGCGGACTGGCTCTAAACCGTCTGAGGCTTCATGAGCTCACTCCAACCTCTCCGATACTTCAAAAGGTGGCGGCAGAATCTGTGCCTCTCGTCGTCATCTCTGTGCTCCTGATCAGAGATTCAAGCACCAACAGGATTTTTCCGAAGCGATCCTCGTATGGAGGTTTCCCATATAGAGGGTGCCTTATTGTATTTGGGGGTAGGGGTCCCCTCTTTTCGTAAACCCCCATACTGCAAGAATGCTGTGACAAAGCCACGTGACACTTCCATGTAGGCTGAAGGCCCATTGCTGCCCCCAGCAAAAAAGAAATACCCCAAGTGCTGGGGGCGCTGCAGGCCCACTACCTTGCAAGAGGCTCGGAAGGTTTCGTGCGATAGCTGCTCTAGTGGGTTTGCTGCCTACCGACTCATACTGTTAAGCATCATTCTTGAAGAGGCCTTTGTCAAACTTTCGTGCTCCCATGACATCTGCTACCCAAGTCCATTCTGCGTGTTGATGTTTATGTCAAATGAATGGCTCACTCATTCATGCATCTAAAAAGCACAAGACAAGCATCATGCTTCCGAGTCTTCTGCCAATGAAATCTGCATCCGAAACAGAACCAGGTGGACCGAACAGCCTAGAACCCTGGTTCTGATTCTGATCGTCGCACGAGCAGAAGCAGCGGCCCGAATGTCCATGCCCTCGTCCCTAAACCCCGGCATCCGAGATCCGCACCGTCGTCCTGCGCCCCACTAATCCTCGCCTTGGGGAAAAAGGCTTTTGAGGGCCACATTGGACAATTCCAGGCCTCCGTTTGTCTACTCTTACATATTCCAAATATGCACAGTTCTTTATGCAGATATACACATATATACATAAATTCATATTGTATGTATGTATGTATGCATGTATACTGCATTGGCCAGCCTCCAGAAATGCCTCCAGCTTCTCCTTGGTTGCATCGTCCAGGGCGGCAACCCGCGCCTGCTCCAGGCAGAGAGACTTAAAGAGTTGTTTCAGGTAAGCTTTGGGATCTTTTCGGAAGTCAAGTTCTTCTCGTTTATGAACTTGACTTAGAGATGTCGTCTCGAAAAGGAAATACAGATCCGGCCACCACACACCACCCGCCAACAAATGGTGCCACGAAGCTCATGTGCATCCGAGGTACTGCCCGCTCTGCCGGTGAGAGGGCAGTGAGACTATCCCAAAGCGCGCCGATGTCAGGGCCTGTCAGGAAACACAGGACAAGGGCCGTGATCACACTTTTAGCTGCGGGCTGAATCCATGTTCGGGACTGTAGATATGGGCACTACTACAGGTGTCCACCGACCCGAGCATCAGGTGACCGACCCCCTACACAAAGATACACAACGCGCATGGGTGGAACTAAGGTATCCCTCTTTGAGCACCCGAAATCAAGGGCGGTGAGCGTGAAAACGATTTGGAGCAGTGGGGAAGGAGGCAATTGACTAACTCTGTGCCCTCCCCACTCGGGAACCTGAGCCCAACGACCATGCGTCTTGGCGAGCTGTTGCTGTGACGGCAAAAGGTTAAGGCTTCAGGGTGTCAAGGCTTCAAGTATAGTAGACTTGCATACGAAAAGGTTTGCAACGTCTTCCCTTCCATGCCCGCACGGGTGGGCTCTAGAATCGATCCGGCCATCAGCAAGGGCTTTCAGCCTCCCCCGCCGAGTCATTTTTTACCCACGAAGGTTGTACACAAAAACTCCCGCAAGCTCCAAGGAGCTAGCTGTCGTGACATACCATTGCTTTTACACGTTTCCAGTGTTCGAACACCACGTCGCACCAAAAGTGAGGTGGCTCAGAGCGTGCATCATGGACTATTGATGGGCATGTGCGTGCGCATCAGCAGCATCAGCAATGTCGGATGGACGTTAGGGTGGTCCACAAGGCAGCTACCTGCAAGCCAGCGCAGAGTACCTTCACTGGCACCTGCTATGTCGCCTGATCTGTGCACGGCCGGTGTGACAGCCCCGTTGGATTGCCACAATAGTGACAACTTCTTTGACGGACTCTAATTGCGACTTCCACTGAGCTAGAAAAACGGTGTTCTGTGAATGCCCTCATATTGGGGTGATGCTGAGGCTACACTTCCTCAATCTTCGGGCCGTCTGCCCTCAGTGCAAGGATAACAAACACAGGCAAGGTAAATAAGCTCAAAAAAGAGTATGGGGATTCGGGATGTTCGGGTTGCAAAAAGAACCGCTTCGTGTTTCACACGCATACTCTTCGTGTTTCACACACATACGCACAGCTTTCATCGCGCCTCGCGCGTCGTCACGTGATCTGCTGGCGACCTTCAGATCTCCACAGACGACATGCCACCACCATAGTTTGTTTTGACATCCGAAGCGGAGTGGCCGCATATGTCCACACAGAAGTGTTGGTTCTAACTGGCTCTTTATTGTAAACTCCCCTTCACACCCGTCACACTTCTTCGCCACGCCTCGAGGCTGTCTGACCTCTGATAACCCACGGAACATGCGCACAGGGAACCCTCCAGCCTAGTCAGCTGACAGAACCCTCGGAACTGCAAAGCCTCCAAAGAAAGCCGCCCCCCTTTCACAACAGGAAAGAGCAGGGGGCCCGGGCTTTTCGGGAGCCGTCCTCGCCCCTGCAACTTCGTCGAATCAAACTGATGCTTTTGGCTTGTTAAGTAGCCGGGCTTTGTATGAGAAATGAATATAAGGACATATGCATATATGAATGTATGAATAATGGAATATAGGGACATGAGAGTTAAATTTGTATATATATATATATGTGAAAAAATCTATATGTATATATATATATATATATATGTAGCACATCTACAACCACTCGCTCCCCCCCCCCCCATCCCGTCCCCCCCTCCCCCGATCAGGCCAACCTGCATCTCATCAACACTTCAATTCTAAGATAATCCTTCGACCCGGGATTTGATTGAACAAAATGTTTATTCCCAGAACCATCTTATCGAGTGACACAACAGGTTGCCCCTGGGCGAAAATCGAAGATTGAAGACTCCCAGGGAAAGTTTTGCGGAGAATCTTCAAGCGGTATTCAAAACACAGCTGAATAAATGTGCGAACAAGATGTTGACTAAATAGTTAAGTGTCCTGCAAAGTCCCAGGCTTTATAAGATTCAGGATTGAAGATTCCGCCTAAATCTTTCCCAACAAACCTTCAATCTGCAATCTTCAATCCAGGGATCTTGAAGAACAGCTTGATCAACTCAAATCCATCAACTCAATCCAGGTCGAAGAAGTCAGGTATTAATATTCCTAAACCTTATCCTGGGGATCTTCAGCTTCAACCCACGGATTTTGAACAAAGAACTGAATACTTCTTCAAGTTATATTCAACAATAGCCTGATCGTTTTAATGGCTTATGCAGCTTGACTGCATGGGCAGAACTGGCTGATTTACTGGCTTAATGGCTTAGCAGATTCTTGGATCCTAGTGACATTGTGCGTTCCAGAATCAACTCAGCTGGGAACCAGTCGCTTCTTCATTATGTCGAAGTGCAGACCGGAAAAGTACTAGCAAAACCATAGGGGATAGAACAAGTAATAACAGATAAATATGTGTGTATATATATATATGTATATGTGAGTACTTGAGCAAGTCTCTGTCAAAGTTTGACTAAATTCAAGTGAGCGTAGTGCTTGCTAAATGATTTCTCACGGTTGCGAGTGTCTGCGCTCCGGCTTCTGAGGTAGCTGCGGTGCGTGCGCGGATGTTCCTATCACATGAGCCTCTGCAACGGGCCACCGCAGCTCCGTCCCCAACCAAAACCAAAACACCACCGCCGCGCCTCTCTGACGGTGCGCCAGCCTTTGAGTATTCGGGACTACTCGGGAGCGAAAACAAGTCTGGCCTTGAAGGTCTTGGCAACAAGACAAGGCTGGGGCCATGTGGGGTATAATCTTCATTCTGCACTCGACATTTCTATCCAAGCCACCTCGTCTTCGTCCACTTCTCCCTTTTTCACCGCCTGGCAAAATTTGGTCTGTGTCTCCATGGTCCCTGAGGCCGTGGGGACTTCAAGCCACTTCAAGCGATCAAACCTTGCACCCTCAAGAGCCCAGCACCTTCTTGTAAAGCTTGTGCAGCGCATAGTCGCCTGGTTTGGCCATCGTGTTGTGTACGGCCTATGGACAACGCATGCGCCCAAAGCATCTCAAGAGCCTCCTTCCAGAAACTTCTTCTGCTTCTGCGAGAAGAGCACAGCATGTGCCCGCACCTGTACCGAGCGGCTGACGGATACCGCAGCTGCGCATCCCCTCAAGTCCCACATCTTAGTGGCTGACCAAGCGGTACATCTTTGCCCCCAACTTGCTCGAGCAGTCCTGAGGGAACTTCGCCTTGAGCTGCGTGCGCTCAATGTGCTGTGCTGATGCCCCCATTTCTTCAGAGCCGAGTATTCCCTAACTATACAGCAGGCATTTGCGTGGTAGCGACTAATGCCCACGAGCTCACCGCGAAAGGCTCCAGCCACAACCAATGCCGTAGCCACAAACAATGCCGTCTGTATGTAGCTTTTTGCGGTGAGGATTGGCGAGGCCAACCAACTGTCGAGACCCAGGCAGCAAACGCTGCTCTCCGTCCCTTACCCTGCTCGAACCCCGATTGCTCTTAAGGCTGCAACTGCTTGCGGCTTCCTGACATCTTAGAGCCTGGCATGGGTCATAATGTCATAGATGGCGGTCTTTTCCGCTTTGCCATCTTGGCCTGGGCAGCTGCCTACAGTCCAATTCCGAGGCTTCGACGGGATGCGCTGATCGTTGTGGGAACCGGTGTATCACAGAGGGAACACAGCTCGAGCAGCGCTCTATTGCGGTCTACAGTTTTGACCGCGCATTGACAGCCTGAGGAGTCTGAGGAGAATTGCCAAAAAATGCCAAAACAAGTCGGCTTGGCTCAAGGCATTTTTGCAGTGCTTTGGCCAGCCATTTCATCCGCTGCTCAGGCTTCATGCCGTGGACCTGCGCCCCAATCGCACTTGGTCCATAGCAACTGACATTTCAGGCTGAAGCTATGCAAGGAAAAGGGGCGGATTAGGGGTGGAAGTTGTGTAGTCCAGACCCTGGAACTCGCAAGGAGAATCAACAACGATTAGGCTTGCCGTCCGAAGCCAAAGGACGCCTGCTTCGGATCCACCTGAAGCGTGCTGGATTCCTGGTCGAGGCAAACGGGTCAGACACTGTTGGACGGGAGAGCTGAATTTGAAGAGCTATCCCGAAAACTCTCCCGGCATACACAAGCCAGCTTGGACAGCCTTGCATGTGTGTGCTAGCACATGTAGGACTTCGTGGAAGCACGAGTTCGTCCCTTTCATAGTTGCTCGGTGAGTCCTCTTTTTCTTCTTTCTTGGAAGACTGCTTCTTCCTGCCAAATCACAAGAAGAGCATCCAATAGCTACATAGCTACAGTTTCACAGTCGTCTGCAGTAGGGCAGCTGGCGTTCAACTCGCTACATCGCTACGCCGTGATGCGATCGGAGCTTGACTCCTGGTGACGACCTCCGCAGGCAGCCGCCGGTTCATCGGGTTAGCATCATCAGGCACGCCCATGGCTCTCACCGCCCGGACCACCCGGGAGTGACCAGGTCACAAGAAGCTCCTGTTCTGAAGATACCGTTTACTCGCCATACTTCCAACATCTTCCGATGACGCATGGTTCCAGACGGAACACAGGCAAGGTTGGGCCTCGAAGCCCCAAAGCCATAAGGATCTGTAAGGGTCTAATGGAGTTTGGGAGATGTTCAAGCGCCAGCTCTGGCGACCAAGGGGGTGTGTTTGGGTGTACTAAAATTCTATAAAATCATTTGCAAGGGGCGGGGCAATGGAGGGGCGGCTTATCTGGCTTGCTGGACGGTGTGCCCATGCTTCTTCGAGAGGCTGATCCAATTTATCCCTTGCAAAGGCTGCGGCAAGCTTCAGGATGCTAGCGGCGAGTGTGGGAAGGTACAAGCTGTAGCAGGGGTGAGCCATGGCAGCAGCTTCAACTACTCTTTGGAAGCAAGATTTCAACCTTGCGTCAGTTCCTAACATGCAGAACTGCTTCACAGGTGCTGACTACTTTAAAGCACACAATGTCCTACGTCGGAACATCCCGAAACTTGGCAGTTCTGAAATGTTAGGCTCTGTGGCGTGCACCAAGCCGCTGAGCTGGGCTTGGTTGGATTCGGGGGGCCTGGCGTGATGACCACTGAAATTCGGTGAAACCGTCCTAACACTACGCTGTGTCTACAGCTGAGATCGTGTGCTGGCCGCCCCTGCATACTGCAGAGAGTTGCGCAAGATGACCAATTTGAGTTGACTGCTCCAGGCTAGCTCGGCTCAGTACATGCGATCGGCTCCGCAGAAAAAGCAGCTCTGACCTGTACATTCCGGCATGGCCCAGTTTCCGGCTGCTGGGGTGCGCATTTGATGGGTCATAGCGTGGAGCTTTCCTGGGCCAGGCCAGGTCATTGAATCACTTTGCCCGCTTCGCCCTCAGTCTGGAGAAAATTCGCTGCTGGAGTCACCTGAGCTAAGTAGTCACACGTCACCGACCAAAACATTGGAGCGTCTTCTGGCACCAACTTCCATCTGTCCTTGTGGTCTAGTTCTCCGCCTCCACGCCACTGCGCTTCTGACATGAATCAGGCAGACGATCTCTGCACGTCAGCTTCTTGCTGCGAAGAGTGCGCTAACAAACAAATGCGAGGATGAAGGCCCGATGCTTGAATGTTTTTTTTGTCGATATACCCAGACGTGCAGCACGATGAGAGCTCTTAGGAGAGCAGGAACACGTTGTGGGAGGTCAATTAAAGTACAGTGAAGTAATTGCAGCTGCTGTGAATGTCGAAGACGGTTGGAAGTCAATTCAAGAAAGCAACAAAGCCACTCTTCACAGACAGGAAAGTGTCGAATGGCCACAGGTTGCAACGGAATCGAGGCCCATGCCCTTAGCTTCCTCCGATCCCAGCAACCTTCGCAAGGCGAAATCAAGCAACGAGCGCGTAACCACAAGTCCCGCAAAAGATGCTCTCAAAAACTCGTTGAGGCCTTCAAGAATCTTCACGCGTGGTTGCTTTAAAATGAAAACGCTCCCATGTCAGCAATGTGGCCAATTTCCCAAAAGGAGGGTCTTTATCACAATGGGAACCCCAAACGAGAACGCAATGCTTAACAACCCCCAAAGGCGCTAAACTCTCAAAATCCATCGTTGTCTGCCTGCCATGACTGCTCGATGCTGTCGGCACCTGTCAATGTACCCAGTGGCGCCTGCTTCAAAGTCCCAATGCGGTGGAAGGCTGGGACGCTTCCGCCGGCCTCATGCAGAGTGTTCGGGATACAATGAATCTGCTTCAGTATCACGCAAGACCTGCAAGCAATGGCCTCGGTTCCAGTTGGCTGGGGCATGTTCCTGGGCTTCATGGGCTTGGGTTGGGACAGCTCGAAAAGTGGGACGTATGGACACCAAACTTGTACATAAACTCGTTGGCACGGGCACTCTGCGCATCTCTGCGTGGCCCGGTGCTGTTGTTTAGCCAGACTGCCCTACAAGGGCCAGAAAGACATTCATCTACATCACGTTTCATGTTTCCGGAATCTCTGTGTAATTCAGGAAACTGGCAGCTCCCGCCATCCTTTCGGAACGGAGCTGTGATGAACATTGTGCCAGGTCTCAGCGTGTCCGCATCTTTGGCGACTTCTCTGCTGAGCACATTTCTGCCTGGGCCGTCCATCTCTGAAAGAGGCTTTGTGGGCTCGGCCAAGGGCAAAAACTCGCCGGATTTGTGCCGATGGATCTCAGCAGGAGAATCTCAGGCTCCAGCGGCCGTACCCGGCACCCGCCTCCGGACAAATCCACAGGAGAAAGACTTCCCCAACCAACAAACGAGAGGCTGTCCACCCCGTTGTTAAACTCAACCGTTCAATCCTTTTCGACCCCAGACAAGCCTTTCAGACAACCTGCAGGCACAGGCAAAAGAAGGCACTGAGGAAATTTCCCCAAGAAAACTCTCGGACATCCCGCAATCTGGATTTGGCCTCACGCTGAAGGTGCTCCAAGTGCTGCTCGTCGTCCTGCGGAAGGCTCTCGCCGTTCAGGGTTGTCCCTAAGGGGAATATTCTACTTCTATGTATTCTTGTGAGCCTCCATGGAACCGAAGGTGATTAACCGCTTCAGGTCTGGGGTTCTGCATTGGTTCCAGCGGTGTATCAGCCTCACACGTTCAAAGGTTGGTGGGGGGTGCAAGGTTGAGGCAATAATTGAGGGGCCTACAGCAGCCAGCGTTGATTCCTTCACAGCTCCAGAAATGCAAGGGATGGCGGGGCTCGGTGCGGGGCTCAGGGGGCTGAGGGGGGGGGGGGGGAAGTAAGAGTCGAGAGAAGTCCTTCGCAGCCTCCCTGGCAAGCCTCAGACATTTGCATCTCAGTTTGCTGACTAGGCCTTGCCGGAAGGACGGAGAATGGTGTAATTTTCTATCAGTGTGGCCAGATCCCTTCTCCTTCCTACTTGAGACTAGGCAGAGTCCCAAGTAATCAACAATCTTGTCCGAACCAGAACCAACACCTCCGAGGCCATCGCACATTCCGTCGAGAGTGGTCGCGCTCAGCATAGCTGATGTCAGAGAGAACTGGGGCTTGCGCCTTCCGGCGAGCATCTCTGCAATTCTTTGCGATTTCCTCGCTTGCTGTCATTTGCTGTGCGCCCCCCACCTTTGGCAGCCACTCCAGCACCTGTGGAGCATCCTGGCGCGCTGGGACACTTGGAGACAGAGAGCGGCAAGGAGTTTCAAAGAGAACTCCAAAGAGAACTTCAAAGAGAACTTCAAAGAGAACTTCAAAGAGAACTTCAAAGAGAACTTCAGAGCAGAGCGTCCTTAACCTCTCGGAGAAGCAGGGACCGGCGAGCGGCTGTTGGCTCGCGATCGTTGGCTTCGTAGTTGCTGACCCTGGCATCACTTCGCGGCGTTTCATGGGTCTTCCGTATTTCTTCGCTGCAGTTGTACTTTTTAGACTCTATACTGCTGCGGGTCTTCCAAGAAGCGTGTTTGCAGGAGTCAAGTAGTGTTGGACTCCACGGACTTGTTTCAAGAAACTGAGCCGAGGCGTCTTGCTCCAGTGGATGCCCTTGAAGGAGCTGACTTCTTTGCCTCTTCAGAATACGGCAGAAGGCTCCCCCTCTGCCCTATGCAACTGCGAGACATTGCTGAGGATCACAGGGCTGGCTGGCTGCAAAGATGCAACAAGCACATACCCCCTGTAAACTGAAAATACCGCAACTGGGCGGCCTAAGATGTGTCCTCGCTTGAAGTCAGGCTTATCCTGCGGCTCAAGCAATAACCTGTGAAGACATGGATGTTCAAACCAACTAGGATCTGGAAAGAACTGCTGCAAATAGCCCGTATCTCTGAGCATGACTCAAGGCGCATACATGCAGCTCCCCTCAGGCGCTCCTCGCAGATGCGGCCCTCCGTCCTCCGAGGTACGACTTGACACATGCTGAAGTTGACCCCTGCAGAAACCAGGTTTCCTGAGGACGAACAGTTTAATGCTGTTGGCGTTGGGGGGATCACGCGAAGTGGAGGGCTTGACGACCGCTCCAGCGAAACCCTGCAACCGCTGCTGCCATCTCCACGCAAAAGCGCAATACGCACGGGCGCAACGCGCCTGTCATGCATCAGTTTTCCATATGCACCACCACACTCGGCATCAGAGTTCAGAGTTGTGCCCTTCATCTGTTGCACAACTCCTGTCTCGAAGTCTCGAAGCGTACAACAAAGTCTGTGTGTGCGCGCGTGCGTGCATCTCGTTTTGTCATTGGTTGGCGTGATTGGCGTGTGTGATTAACAGAAAGCACACATAGACTCTTCACATGCAGGGTCGAAACAAACGCAGCGAGCTTTTCTGACTCGTGACCAGCCCGTCCTACGCGGTGGCCCTATCTCGAAGGCCTGGGGATGGGTCGTTGACACGAGGCAAGACCCTCAGTGATCACATTCTCACGCCATACATGTGTAGCAATCAGATGCCAGATCTTGCTAAGTGGAAGAGCACCAATTAGGTCCTAGAGTAGTACGCGGATCTTGACGCAGCACAGGTATCAAAAGATTTGCATACTGTTTCAGGCTCTCACCAGGTAGATTCAAGTAGATGCTTTTCGAAAGATCAATGCAAGTCCGAGCCTGGTTCTCGACACTTTCCCGCCTCGGCAACGAGGCCGCGTTACACCATCAAGGTTACAGGCAATATAGCTCCGTATCGTGTCGGCCCTCAAAACTCAAGACAACCGGTGACGGTGAAAGTCCCGAAGTCCCAAGACAAAGCGAAGTAGATGAGAGAATCACTCACAAGGCAGATGCTAGAGTCCACCTACCGCTGCCTCAGCGCCAGGCTCGCGAGTCAGCGCATTCACTCTGGCAAAGGGGCTCTCCTGTGAGGCACAAGGAGAGAATCCTGTGATCGTGAAAATTTGAAGCTCTTGCAACAAGCTGACAGCTTTCAGAAAGATTCAGTAAGATCGCCCAGGCACACTTTAACTAAGAACCTTCAGAATCCTCAGAGCCCGCTCTGTCGGACTTCCCTCTCTCAGTCACAGCATCGGACCTTTTGTCAGCTACTTGTAAACACTCGGTGCCACACTGTGCGTGGCCGGCGCATCTCTGATGGGATCACGACATGGCCTCAGCACCCCCAAGCACCGGCAAAACGTGTCGTTTGCACAGGGGTGCCGGTATCCAACACCTTGACGGTGGTCAAGGCAAGGGGGAGGTACCCCTTTCAGAAGTGACCAGCTTCTCCCACCTCCTACGGAACTCCGACGGAGACCCTGCAAAGCACCGGGCTGTCATTTGCTCCATACTTCCTGGACCAGGTGTCCCGAGCCAATGCACCTCCAGGCTCAGGGTCGGAGATGCTTCTCTTTCCCGCGCTTGTGAGTCTCTCTGCTTCTCTTGTGTTCTCTCATGTTCTCTTCCGCTCTCCTGCCTTCGATTATATTTTCCTCTTGCCTGTCTGAGGCTTGTCTTGATCTGCGCCTGCCGAGTTCGGCTTGGGGTTCGGCCGAGGCCTCGGCGAGATCTGCAAGCGCCCCACTTGGCTCGAACCACCAACCCTGTCCTTCCCAACTGCTGCATCTCTGCTTCGACAACTGCGTGTCTCATCTTGCTGAGTTCCCAGCGCTCTCGGCACCGGCGGGGCCTGCCAAGCATTAAACTTGGCCTCCGGCCGACAGGCGTCAGGAACAAGCAGAGCAGGATCTGGCTTCCTTCCCTTCCCAGTTAAACTCCGTGGTGGGATCCAGAAAAACCCCCCAGATCGCCTGGAAGACCAGTCTTTGCTGCCCTCCACCAGCCGACCCAAGCTTCGCTTGGCAACAAGCCCACGAGCACTTAGCAACAAGCTCAGCCTGTTGTACGACGTGTTTGGGGTGGGTGGGTCTTCTTGGTAGCTCCCACCACCCTTCCCAAGCTCCCCTCCACTTGGCAACAAGCACACGAGGGAACGCGCGTAAGTGTTTGTTTATCGCTAGCACAAGCAACACAGAATACCAAGATTGTATGATACACTCGGCAATGGCAATCTGCTCAAAACCTCCTCAGATAGCCAGAGGCTGCAGACGGCCTTACCGTGAGATGCTTCCACAGAGCGATCACGCCTCGGAGATTTCGTGCACTGCACGCATTGCACTCTAAGAATTCCAATGTCTTACCTTCGTGACTCTGGTACTCCATGCACTCTCATGTTCAACGATCACTTCACTACATCGTTTGCCAGCCTGGCCGTGGAAGCACTTGGCAAGCAAGGACAACCAAAAGCTCTGTGGCATCGTCGATGATTTGTGGGCGTCTGGCTTTGGTAACATCGCGTGATCCCTCTGCCGGAGCATTGCCTCGTATGGGTGCGGTGAAGGGGGGCTGTGAGGAGAATAACACATCTGAGTCGGCAGGCTTCCCCAAAATTAAGGGACTGCACGAATCAAACCCACTTCACTCGAATTCACTTGGCTGCTAGGCCCTGCTAGGACACAAGGCGCCACAACACGGCATCACTGCAAGAACTGGAGTGGCCTTGCCGAAGGACATCTTGCACAGCACGAGACGAGGGGCCAATCATGCACTGAACGAATTCGCGGCCCTCAGTTCCGAGCCAAGCAGCGTGCATGATGCGTCTGAGAGTCACGTTACGAGCTTCGGACTCGTAAGTGCGGGTATCCTGCTCTCAATGCGCCTTCAACTTCGTTGACGGCATGCGTGCCTAATCCCCGGCATCCTATTATATGCTCGCGGCGCACCCTCAACTTAAGTTCGCCCCATCGACAGCCACTACAAGTGACAAATTCTGCAGAATACAACAACCCAGAGAGACATGCTCGAAGAATTGAGCGAACTAGCCTAAGACTGCCCGAGCTGCTCCAACATTTGCGTCACCAAAGATGCGAGCGAGTAGCAGCGGTCGTGAGGTTCACGCTGTGCAGGACCAGTAAAGGTTCTGTACCACAGGTTGAAATTTTGGGACTTTGAAACTAAATCAATGAATTTTTCGCAGTTGAAACGAAACAAGTAACAAGATAAGTGCGTGCCGGGCAGGTGCCGGCGTGCCTGTGTGGCAGTGGTGTGGCTGTGCCGGACGGCAGAAGAGCAGCATCTCTGCGGAAATTGCTCGTGCTTCGCTCCGTTCGCTCCATTCTGGGTCTCGCACGGCCACTCTCTATAAACAAACAGACCATGTGCGCTCGTGATACCACGCATTGACAGTGAGTCCTCTCGCTACTTCTCGAAAAGACTTTGCAGCTGACAACACAGATCACTTTGGGGGTCTGATGGCTTCTCAAGCAGCTGCATATGGCCACCAATGCTAGCGATCATGGCGTTCGCCAGCAACGATCACATCTCGACCAGACAGTTGATTGTGAGGATGTAGTCCTCAGCGGTTACCCCAACATGGCAGCGTCCAGTGGCGAACATTGCTTAGGCTCTGCAAGAAGAATCTGGGGGGCTCCGCACGTGTGGCAGCGCTGGGCAGATCCCACAGAGCCTGCAAGCAGATGCGCAAGCAGATGCAGCAATGTTGCAAAGCCGCAGATTGCTTGTTCAAGTGACTTTCTGCCATATTTCTTTCACCATTCTGGCAGAACACCATGAGCAGCTGGGTCCCCGGCATTGGGCGGACTCAGCTCTGCCACACCTCGCGTGCTTCCGAGGCCTAGTACTAATACTGTGCCCAGGAGCAATCGAAAACGGCAGCCCTGACACTGTATGGCAGAAGATATGCTGTGCTGCAAGCACCGATCTTGTGGCGGAATTACCCCGGGGCCATGTTGCTGACATGCCGGCACGTGCGGCCAAGCTGCTGCAATCGTCGAAATGGCAAGTACCGTGGCGAAATGCCTCACGCAGCGCCGTAGGGCAGATCAAAGGTCGGCTCAGATGGTCATGACGCTGAGAGCGCTGTGCCCCACTGCCGAAGCTGCGAGCTCTCATCTTCCGTGGGAGCGAAAATGCGCCCCAGCCACAAGTAGAGGGGTGACAGAGAAGAGAGAGGCTGATCCCCAGTTTGAGTTAGCTGGCCTATTCGAATCCCATGGCATGGGTTGCAGATGTGGCATGCAAGCGCTCTAACTTTTTACAGCAGCCATTGTCACTTAAGCTCTTTGCGCTTGCGTCACTCTCATAGAGGCCTGGAGAGGAAGTCCATCGCCACCAAGTTGGAATAGCTTACATGGCAACAATGCGA